CCTGGGAGGGTGGAGCCAGCCGGGCCCAGGGGGCTGCGTGGGGGCGCCCGGACGACGGGTGTGCTGGGCACGGCAGTGGTGTCCTTGGCCCAGCGCCTCTGTGGGCGCGTGGTCTGTCCCAGCTGACGGCGCCTCCCAGGGGGCCAGGGAGACTGGCCCTGCACCCCAGGTGTCTGGCGCTGGCCGTCTTCGTGGCCACTGAGGGAGCAAAACGTGCGAGCTCCACCTGTGCGCCCAGGAGTTCAGCCGCCGAGCCCGGGCAGGGCGCAAGCTCGGCCCGTGGGGCCGGGAGTTGTGCCCGTGCCGGTGCTGCCTCGGCCTTGTGTGCTCGGGGGCTTGGATCGTGTTCTCCATGAACGCCCTTAGCGCTGCAAGAGCCTCTTTGTTGTTTAGGCTGGAGACAGGCACCGCAAGCGGGTTTAGTGACCGTGCTAGGTGTTTGTTATCTTGGAGGGCCCCGCCGTGGTGCTCGCAGGCACCTGCCCAAACCGTCCTGTTGGTGTAGAAAGGGAGGGTGCAGGCTGCAGGGACAGCCCTAGGACAGGCCCTAGGGGCCTTTATGTGGCTCCTAGGAAAAGGCAGGTGATGTGTTTAAAAGAAGACATGGTTTTTTTCACCATCAGCTTCCAGAGCATATGTTTAGAGTTGAGGCAGTTTGAGGGCCTTTTTATATTTCACCTATGCTTCCTGTCATAGGGTGGCTCAGATCCTATCTGCCCGTCTGCTGGGAGTATTTGGTTCAGTAGCTTGCACTTTCCAGAACTCATTAGGAGACTCAAGGCTGAAGGATTCATGCGCCTGCTGCTTCTGTAATGTTCTTACTTAAACATTTAGATTCGTACAAAACACTAACATAAAAGCCACTTTTCTCTGGTTCTTCCTGGGGGCGTGCGTGTGCAGAATGTGCACTTTGTCTTGCACAGAAGGGCTAGTGTTGGCCGGGCTTGCTGGTCAGCTGCGTATGGGTTGTGCCATTGCCCCAGCGCATTGTTATTTGCTTTGGGATCTTTTGTATCTTATGCAACTCTATAATTGTATATGGTAAATAACCCTCTGCCTTGCAGAGCTTGTGGCTCTGGAGTTGGGAGCGAGACAATCCTTCAAATGCAGCACGGAGTGGAGTGCGCCCCTTTGCCTGGGAGTGCCCATGGGATGGGGGGGGGCTGCGGGCAGGAGGGGGGGAGGGGGCACGTGGGCGCTTTGGGGGAAAAGCGGGCAGTTTCAGGGAAAGGAGATGCTTGAAAGGATTGTGTATGTAAATGTAATGGAAACGGGAAGCAGGGCTGGGGACAGCATGCCTCTGTTCTGCACTTTGTGAAATCATAGAAAGTAAATGCATATTGGTGCCATTTTGATGGCACTAATGATCTACTAACATTTTACTCCCACTCTACAGTCACTGCTGTAAGCGAATGTGGGAGGTGTGAGGAAGCAAAGAATCTGGCCCCTCAAGGGGAAGAGGAAGTAAAACTAAGGCAGGAAAGGAGTAGAGGTGGTTCAGGAAGGGGTTAGATGGCTCTGAGGGTGGAGAAGAGGAGGCTATATGACCTGGAAAGACACAGATAAAGCTGGCATCCCACGCAAGGCTATAGCACTGCTGAGTGGGAATGGCGTGTGGCTTAATGGCTAGGTGGTAAAGAACAAGGATCAACTCTGAGTTTTTTACAGAAAGAGAAACAAGAAGATTTAAGGTTGAACGTGCAGTTATGCATAGGGAGCCTTCTCATGTTCCTTGCTTAAATTACCCAGAAAATTAATTATTTATAGTGCTAAAGGTGGAACTAGGACTAGTTTTGAACTCTAAAGGCAGTGCGTGCAGTTGTCTGCCTTCTTAAGCGCTGACAGCCCTTTGACAGGATAAGGAAACAGCAAAAGCCTCTTCATTTTGGAGTTGAACAGTCTTCCTGCAACTAACAAGGAACAGCAAGTCCCATTTGTCAGTAAATGACCCCATGCTGCATGGGCTAATGGGATCTCCACTTCAAAGACGCAGTGTATTCCCTCGGGACCCTCGGGAGCCTCTGCTTCCCACCCAGAAGGTGATAATTAGGAGAGGGCTAACAGTTTGGCTGCGGGGAGCAGCGTTCGCGGCACAGCACCCGAGGACTGGACTGAGTGCCAGCAGCACCGCAGTCTTTGCAAAGCTTGGAACATCCATACGATCTAAATTTAATTTTCCCGTGTAATTTGCAGACAAGTGACACAGCATGTGTTTCTAGGAGGTGCTATCCCGGCACCACCTGTCTCTCCTGAAATGCTAGCTCAGTCTCTTCAGGTCTTTTATTTCTTCAGCTTCAATGTATTCAGCTCTGAGCAATTTCCTGTCTTTTACCTTCATTTTTTGCCTATTTCCCTCCAGTTTAAGGAACTTGCCAGGCCCCCCTCTGATCTTGCACACATTGGGCATCCACAATTTGAAACTAATTTCTTTAGCTTTTTTTTAAATAAAATCTAATGTTTCTTTATTTGGAAATGATTTTTTTCACAAAAGTTTCTTCTCTTAAAGGATTTCTAAAATGAGGATTTTTCTTGTATTTCCTTATGCACAAGCTCCTTCCCTCCTTCCCTCCAAACCTGCCTGTCTCATAACAGTAGAGCCCTGGTGAGGAAGAATATTCTGGCTAAAGGATCCTCCACGTGCAGAAGACATGTCAAAATGGGCCTTGTATTAGCCTGGATAAGACTTACCTGGTTTTAGCACATTTTATGCAGTTTGACATTCAGCTTGGAAAATGAGAATACCTTAAGAAGCTTTGGTGGTTGTTGTCACATGCACGGGCATTCTGGCTGTGAAGGAGTCAGCCCCTGACAGTCTACTGGTTTGGGGACAAGTGGGAATAAATTTCTCAGTGGCTTTCTTTTCTCCTCCTTGATTAGAAAAGTGTCTTGAGTTTCTTGGTGATGCAAATGTGATGAACATGCTGACACGGTGTTATCTTTTATGTTGTGCTACTGAGGGTCCTGACTGTAGAGAGTGCACGTGGAGGTGAGCAGTGTTGCAATATCGACCATGCTTTTGCTGGCGTTTCACTTGTGTTCCACCACTGCTTTTTGCAACAGCTTCAGTGGAATAAGTCTGTGCACAGAGCAAAGATGTATGAGGAGGAAATAAAAGCACCAACAAAGAGTCAAAATTCTGCCACCTGTTGAGGGAAATGTTTGTATTTCATGTGACTTCTGAGTCTGACATTTGTATCCCCTGCAAATTTTTCTTATCTATTGAGAAACATGCTACAGTAACAAACTGTTCTGAATGGAAGGCTGTGTGTTAGAGGTCTGTATGGAAGGTTTGAAGCTAAAGGCCTGGGCCTCCATATATTTAGGTTAGCTATTGCAATGGAGCCTTCCCTGCTTGGGTTTCGCTCAGCTGCTTCTCACTGCAGTTGTCCTCAGTGGACAGTGTGGTGAAATGACAGGATGGAGAGGTGAATTTCATCCTGCGCTGACTCCATTTGCTAGTTTGGCAGAGATGAGTTGTTTAGCAGTTGGATGAGTCAAGAACTTAAAGGTAAAAAAGGAGTCAGAATGGAAGAAGGATTTTTGTGGGGGTATGGAGGATGCACACAGATGGTGCTAAATACCAAGACACACAACAATGTGCTGAAGGATCACAGAAAACCTCCAATACTTCTGCTGTTATGACATAAATTACTCTCCAGGAAGATGAATGGGAGAAGCAATGCAAGGGAGGCACCACCTTCCTTGCCCAGGCAATTTCCAAGTGCACTTTGCTTTGGCTGTGATGTGTGGAGCCAGCATTGCAAATCATCCTTTCTGAAGTATGGCTCTGCCCAGGCTGTTGAAATGCCAGCCTGCTGCTGTCACCCAGTACCAACGCAATCCTCTGTGCTCCCTGGAGAGCACCGTATGGTGGATGGCATTTTGCTGTTCTCTCCAGTGACTTAACGTCTTGCCTGCAACATCTTTTGGAAATGTGCAGCTCTGCTTGCTGCCGTCACAGGCACCCTCGAGCAGCACCATCCTGGCTATGCTGAGAATTCAAGGAGCACCTCCCAGTATTGCTGTCACGCTGCCAGGAATACTAACAAAACCCAGCACGTACATGCTGTTGTATCGACCTACGGGAAGACAATTGGAAGGCAGCGATAAAATGCCAGCCACCGGACTATACTAGTGTTTCTTCTTCACTGCTACTTAAGGCTGCTGTGGGAAATTTCCCTTAAT